AAGGCCTGCGTGCGCTCGGCGGTGTCGAAGCGCAAGATCTGCGCGAGCGTCTCGGGGCCGAAATGATGCTCCAGGACCGCGTTGGCGCCAAGCTTCGCGAAGCCATCCTGAGCGCGGATGCGTCGGGCCTCCACCTGGGGCCACAGGTGGAAACCCCTTATGGGGCCACGAAGCGCTGTACTGAAGGTGGCGGACGCATGTGGCCACCCCCAGTGGAGCCTTCGGTGGAGCTCCCTATAAGGCCAAGAAGCGCCGTGTTGGGCGTGGCGGACGCATGTGGCCACCCCCTGTGGGGCCTCAGAGGGACTTACCCTATGGGGCCACGAAGCGCTGTACTGGGTGTGGCAGACGCATGTGGCTAACCCCGCTTGGGCCTTGGGTGGAGTTCCCTGTGGGGCCACGATTCGCTGTACTGGGAGTGGCGGAAGCATGGCCCCCCCCCACTGGGGCCTTAGGTTGAGTTCGCTAAGATCACGAAGCGCTGTACTGGGTGCGGCGGACGCGTGTGGCCACCCCCACTGGGGCCTCAGGTGGAACTCCAGATGGGGCCACCAAACGCTGTACTGGGTGTGGCGGACGCATGTGGCCACCCCCACTGGGCTTTCGGTGGAACTCCCTATGACGCCACGAAGCGCTGTGATGATGATGATGATGATGATGATGGTGGTGATGGTGCTGCTGCTGATCATTATGATGATGATGATGATGATGATGATGATGATGATGATGATGATGATGATGATGCTGATGATGCTGATGATGATGATGATGATGATGATAATGCGAGGAGGGAGGATGGGAGAGGAGGAAGGAGTGAGGAACGCCGGACGCTGTCTCTTCAAAAGGAGGACTCAACACCACAGGATGGTTGGGAAAAACTGCCCCTTGGAACGCGGTCGGGATCTCGACGGTCGCGGATCGAAAACAACAGATCGGCAGATGTCAGGGGTCTCGGGGGCGTCCAAGAAGGGGGCGTTCAAGGGGGGGATTTGCGCATCATGCCCCGAGGGGGCCGAGGGACCTGAACGGCCTAGGGGAGCCAGTGTACTTCTTCTTGAAATCCGCGGGCCCCCTTATGGGGCAGTTTCCTGTACCAGTTGCAGCTTCCAGTTTCCACTGTTACGGTTCTGCTTCTTGCTGCTTACTGTTCCTTGTTGATGGACCGCGCGAGGGGGGGGAGGCCCAAACGGGCAGGTTTAGCACGCCCTGGGCGTGTTGTCTGAATTGCTGGGGTGGGTAACAGTTGACACCCCTCACGCAGATCGGCGGGGTCGGGGTTCAAAAACACATGGGATTTGCCATATTTCTAAAATTCGGTGGCACCCCTCACGCAGATCGGCGGGGTCAGGGTGCAAAAACACGTGGGATGTGCCACCACATTTCTGAAATTCGATGGCACCCCTCACGCAGATCGGCGGGGTCAGGGTCCGAAAACCCAGGGGATTCTCAACATTTCTGAAATTCGGTGGCACCCCTCACGCGGATCGACAGGGTCAGGGTCCAAAAGCACAGAGGATTTGTCACATTGTTTTAATTCTGGGGCACCACTCGCGCACTTCCGCGCGGTCAGGACACAAGAGACTTTCAGCATTTTCAAAGTCGGGGAGAAGAGTTGGGCACAGCATACAGGAGCAAATGAAACTACAACAGCGAGAACAACAATATACTCGCAATCTCCATTCGTCTTGCCAATTACCCATCGTCTTCGCATGAAGTTCCGACGCTGCTTCACGGTGAAGCCAAAGCCTCATGACTTCGCTCTTCCATGGCCCATTCTCCACAGCAAATTCTTCGTGTCGTACCGACTTCGACGTTGGTTTATGACACCGCGAGAATCGTTCATGCTTGAAGGATCGGCCGCTTCCGAAACGTCAGATCGTTCGACATCGACTCAATTTTAGTCGCCGGCGCGGCGCTCAACGTTGAGCGCCTGAGGCGGGGTCGGCGCCGGTCGACACGTCGCGCACCTATGGCACCCTCCCAATACAGTCGGACCTAGGCCAGAAGAAAATCCTTCAAGAACATGAGATCCTCCGTCGGCCAAAACAAACAGAACATCCAAGCGAACCCTTCCCAGGATGCGCAAGAGCATCCAACCAGAACGAAGAGCATCAAGGTACCCTCCCCGAACCGACCTCGATCTTATACCTCGCTTCGACTGTAGTCATCACCCGGCTCTCCGCCGCCCCGCATGTCGTGACGACCCATGCGTTGGTTTCTGACACCGCGTGGATCGTTCCACCTGGAGCGACCGCGGCGCTTAGATCGCGCAGACTGCTCGACGTCGGCGGGGTCCAGGCCACCCTCGGCCGCGCCAGGGCCGCCGCCGCATGGACACGTCGCGACACTGCCGCATCTACGCCTTGCCTGTGCGAACAGAAACGGCGGACCCAGAATTCAGCAGGGACCGACCGTCCCGGCATTCCTATAGTCCTACCACGAAATGTTCTTAGAACCCAAACATATTCTAAGAACAAAAGCAATGTTCTTAGAACATATTCCCGATGTGATAAAACAAAACAGACTCCGCCAGAAAGGTTCTAAGAACATTTCGTGGGAACCACAAAAAGTTGTTAGAACATTGTTGGGTAGGGCTATAGGCGAGCCGGGACGCTTCGCCACTGCTTGACAGACCTCCTCTCGTCGTGGGAGGTCGCGGCGGGAGGCCCTCTCCTCACGCTTTGGCCTCCGGGGGGGCACCCGCCAGGCCACGGGGCCAGAAAAACAAACGCCTCGGGCTCCAAAACCTGTCTGGGGGGTTATCAAGGGGCCCTGGGACACACAAATCAAGACACACCAATACAACCATGTCCCATACGTTCCCATATTTCCTGAGTTTTTGTCTTCCCCCCCACCTCCCATATTTTCCCATGTTTTCCTGGGAGTCGACAAGTCATCGTGTCTGTGTGTTTCTTCCCCTCACGAGGTTAGGTGGTCGAGACCTCCAGGGGCCCTCCTCCTCCTCTTCCTCCTCCTCCTCCTCCTCCTCCTCCTCCTCGTCCTCCTCCTCGCCTCGGGCTCCAAAACCTGTCTGGGGGGTTAGGTGGTCGAGACCTCCGGGGGGGCCCACGCCGCGACGGCACCGCGGCGTCGGAGGCCCCTGGGCATCTCGGCCCGCGGGGGCCCTGCAGAGGCCTCGACCGCCCACGAGGGGGGCGTCTCTCCTCCTCCTCCTCCTCCTCCTCCTCCTCCTCCTCCTCCTCCTCCTCCTCCTCCTCCTGCTCTCCTCCTCCTCCTCCTCCTCCTCCTCCTCCTCCTCTCCTCCTCCTCCCCCTGCTCCTCCTCCTCCTCCTCCTCCTCCTCCTTCTCCTCCTCCTCCCGGCGCAGTGGGCCCGCGAGGGGCCACCCGGCGAGGGCCCCCAGCGACGGACGAGCCCCAGCGTCCCGCACACGTGCGACCAGCGAAACGCACTTGACACGCAGACCGCCAGCTCCCCAGACCCCCTCGGGTAATGAAAAAATCATGACGGGAGTTTTTTGGTTATTTTCGGCCTCCGGGGGCCCTCGCCGGGCCTCGTGAGCGTCAAAAAACGACTCAGGATGCAAAGCCGGTCATGGGGAAAGGGTCCAGACCTCTGGGGGTCGACGTAACGAAAAAATCATTACGTCGGGGGTCTGGGAACGACGCCCCCTTCCGGCGTAAAACCAATAAAACCCTTCGTGTGATGTGTTTTTTCCTGTTCTGAGCGAGGGCCGGCGTGCCACGCCGGCCGCACGGGTCGAGAGGTCCGACGTTTGGCGGCGTTCGGGTCCGCCGTCGGCGAGGGCGGGGGCGGCACGGGTCCAGGCCGGGGTCTCGGATCTGCCCCCCGGGGCTTAGACGTCGGGCACGTCCTCCTGCCGGCGGATTCTGAGAGACGGATGAACCGATAGGCAAGCAAGTGTCAAGCATAGTCAGAAGAGCTCGAAAAACCGTGGCCAGACTATTTTTGCGCCTGTTCTTGAATATTCCTCCTACACGCCCGACTTATCATTGCACCGGCCTTGCAGGCGTGCTGCAGCGGATTTCTGCGTGGATTCCTGCGTGGATGTTTGCCCGAAGCGGCGAACGAAACACGAAGTGAGTTTCACGTGGGTTATTTTTGTGGGTCTTCATTCCAGGCCCCAAACAAATCCGCACGAAATCCACCTCGAAATCCAGAACGGCACGTTCCAGGATAATCCGGCCCCACCCTCTCGTCTTCCGAACGAGATCCGCTCGGCGATGCTGGCGCCATGAGACATGCCCGACTTCACCCCGGGCACCGGCTCTGCGTCCATGCTCGTCTCTTGGCCGTCTCCGACCCCGCAACGAGGGCCAGCGGGGGAACCTCGCCACGGCGAGGAGCCTCGGGACCCGTCCCCGTCCCGGCGGCGAGGGGCGCGGAGCCCGGCAGCCCACAGCAGGGCTGGACCTGAACGTTGCTTTCGTCTTGCCTTCGTGCTGCTTCTTGTTTTGCTCTATACCCGTTTTCCTGCACCTCCCTCCCAAAGCGAAAAACAAGACACGGCCGATGCCCAGCAAAACAGCGTTCAGGCCCAGCCCTGGCCCTTACAGGTGCTGAAGGCCGGCCACCGCATGCGGCAGCGCCCACGCGCACCCAGCTCTCGCAGGAGTCCTGCCACGCCTCGTGCATCCAGCTTCTCGTGCCAGTCCACTCGGACATGCTGCACGTTCGATAAACATGAAGGGGCCCTGGGACACACAAATAAGTACACACACAAATAAGATGATTCCCCATATTTTCCCACATTTTCTGGATTCCTGTCTTCCCGCCCAATTCCCATATTTTCGCATATTTTCTGGGGAGTCGACGATTAATTGTGTCTGTGTGTTTCTTTCCCTCCTGAAAACAGGGGAGGTGGAGGGTGTTTCTGGGTGCCCGGCCTCCCGGCCGCACTCGGCAGGACCTGCAAGACCGCCAGCAGACAGCGCGGAATACAAAAACTATAAAAAAAAACTGGCCCTGGGCAAAAACTCTACACAACTGCGGGTCCACGCTGCAGGAAGGGGATGACGTCGGAGATCAGGGTCACGCAGCTGGCTTCTCCGGCACCTCCCAGCACCGTGCCAATCTGTCGAGGATAGCGTCCTTCGGCAGAGCCGTGCCCAGCTGCATGCAGCAGAGTTCGAACCCCCACGTTTGCCAATTCCCTCTTCTGTGAAACCCGGGAGGTACGAGGAGGAAAGAGGAGGAGGGCGCTTGCTGGAACGGGTGAAGGGCTGTTGAGAGTTGTTGGCAACAGATTCCATGCCGACTTGGCATCCAAAGAAGCGCTGCGAATCGAGACGACCGTAAACGGCACCCCAGGAAAACGCCAAATTCGGACCACAGGTGGAAGCCGCAGCACAGAGGAGGGAGGCGCAGGCAGGGGAAGCAGCACTAGCTCCCAAGCGAACCACGAGCCGCCATCGAACTGATCCACCACAAGGACAGCGCGGGCAAGATGGGGCCGCGCTGCACCGAGTTTGGTGCGAGCGCCGCCCAGATCTAACCAAACCCCTGGCTATGGCGCCGCCCCGCGCGGCGAACCCTAACGCCGGCTGTCGGAACGCACGGCGTGCACGAATGCCCTGCGCAGAAGCAGCCATGCCTTTGCGATGCCCGGAAGCTGGAAGCACACGTGGCCCCCCGCTTCCTCCTCCTCCTCCTCCTCCTCCACCTCCTCCTCCTCACCATCATCCTTTCCTCCTCCTCCTCCTCCTCCTCCTCCTCCTCCTCCTCCTCATCCTCACCCTTTCCTCCTCATCCTCCTCCTACGCCTCCTCCTCCTTCGTTCCATCGTTCCATGATGAAACCTGGTCCACAACAAGACAGAAATTGGCTTCTTAGATCAGAAATAAAAGCTTTGGCAATCTGGGCAGGCGGCGTTGAGGTCAGATGATGATGTTCTCCATTCAGCCCCACGAAGACGTTCGCATTGATTGCCTCCCAGCCTGCTTCTCGCATCCACAGGTGCATATCCGATAGTGGCCCAGACACCTTCCTGAGCCATGAAGCCCCAGGGGGCAACTGCAATAGATGTTGTTGAGTGGCCGAGAATGCATTGACCAGTTCACGCGCAATGAGGCCATCTCCTTGTAGCAGGTCGCCATCAGATGCCTGCCACCATTCTTTAGCGTATCTCTTGAGAGTATCTGCTGCCTTGTTCAGGGGGTCCTGGTCCGCGTGAAGAGTCCATCCAATGTCGAGCGCACCTCCAAGAAACCCAAGGGCCTTAGCACCAGCACGTCTGAGAATCTTAATTTCTCCAGGAGTATGGCCAAGAACTTCTCCTCCATATGTTGCTGATGCTTGAATCCCAGCAAGAAATATCCGACCTTTTTGTTTCCCAGAACCTTTCATCGCAGTCAGTTTTTTCAATCGTGTCTTGATCAATCCAAACCTTCTCCTCCGAACTTTTCCATGACCTGCTTGTTGTCTGTGCCGTCCGAGCGAGAAGTCCACACCAAGATTCTTGACCGCAATCTCGGGTTGTCCAGCCAGGGGTCCTAGGGCCGCCCTGCATGCATCCATCAAAGGCTTGGACGTCCCAGTGAAGCATAATTTCTACTCTGCGAGGGGAACTCCCAGCAGATCATTGACAAGTTGTGCCAAGTGAGATGCTCGATTGTACATTCCATTCACACAGTCATGGAATCCTCGAGCTGCTACATTAATACACAGATCATCAATATGGACTGTAAGTGTGGCCAGCCCTACATTTGGGAGGGCCTGCTCCGTAGTCTGGTTGATCCATTCGTTGGCCGCTGGGAAGACGAACATTTTTGCTTCGTATGTGGCAGTGCCCGTTCCCGCAATTATCCCACGACGGGGGTATAATGGTTGGGATATGAGACCGTCCAATGCAATTCTTCTCGGCCACTTGTAGGAGTTGAGGCTGTACTGCAGGACCGAGATGGGGTAGTTGATCTCAAAGGCAACCTCCCACAGTCTGTGGTGCGACATGTGCTCATAGAACTGCTTCAAATCCCACAGCACTGATAAAATGTGATATCCATTTATCGCAAGGGCTTCTCCACGTGTGGCCTGTCTCCAGACTGCGTCTAGAGGTCCTCGCCCAGGCGCCATGCTGAATACTGGATGGTCAGCAGCTCCTCGTTCCCATTCTCGAGCCTGCCACGACATGATCTTACCGTGAAGGCGCACTGTACTGGTGAAGAATCCAATGGGTCTCCTGCCTGTCACTGGTTTGCGAAACATCTGCATAATGACCTGCTGCAGGTTGCTTGGTGCATTTGAAATCGTATTCATGATCGAGAAGATCCCTGTGAGGGCAGAAAGGCACTGGTCACTGAGTAATGAAAAGTGCTTCGGGTGAATACCGTCAACTGCAATAGTATGTGTTTTGAATCGTCGTGAAATTCTCTTCAGCAGCTCTGGCGTGCAGCGAGGTGGAATCACAGCAGGGGCTTCAACAAACTGATCTTGTACTGTCCCCGTTTGCCACGCCTGTTGCCATTGCTCCATCTGTTGCTCTAATATGCCATCTAGGGAAGCAGTCGCAGTGCCGTCCTTGCGTACGTAGACCTCCTCCTCGCAGGTCGGCTTGATTCGTGTAAAAGCATGCGCAGCACCACCTCCGCCTGAGTCAAAGGCATTGCTGCACCACTCAGTCCAATCACGTGCCTTCTGCCTGCGAGAAAGTGCCGTCTGCTGCCTCTCAGCGACCTCCAGTAGTGCAATCCAACCACTGAGCTGATTGTCCAAAGTAATAGAGGTAACAGGTGAAGGTTCCGCTTGGCTCTCGATTGGGCTGGTATTTCGGTGTCCTGGCCTGGCCAGGGTCCTTCCAGCCGACCAGTGGACAGGAGTTTCCAATCTGGTCTCAGTCTCATCCCTGGTCACACTAGTCCTAGCGTTCAGATCGCCAGCATGGGGGGTGGGCGACGAGGTGGGGAGTATCTCTGGCTCGGATCTGATATTAGAGTTCCCTGGTTCGCGATCCCGTCCTTGAAGGTCGGCCTCCAGGTCTGCAAATGGATCATGATCATCATCATCTAGTGTATGTGGTATCCTTATCCTTGACTCATCCAGTCCACCAGAGGCCACGCTAATATTCTCAACAACTCCCTTCTCTGATGTCATCGAAGTTGGCGTCATATGTGGTCCACTTGCATTGCCGTGCTGGGTATGGGTATCTCCGTTGAGTTTGTCGATGAGAGTGTTGAGTAGGAACTGCCACCCAGCTCCTTCACAGCCAAGATGCTTACGGAGGGGACCACCTCTGTCTCGAATACGCCTGGTACTTTGAAGGAGGTAGTTGTAGTACTGCCGAACTCTGTCATCGGCTCCTGTCAGGACCTGGTTTCGCAGATGTCGTAACTCCTGGAGCCTGGATCTCATCCAATGGAGGGCGTTTCCTGGGAGCTTCCGTTGGCTCTGCTTAGTGGCCAGACTTAGCCTGAGGGGCCTCTCCGTGACCTGAATAGGAGCCCCAGCACGTAGCAACTTGGGGTTGGGGTCGGCGTGTGTGACCTGTTGAAGTTCACACCATGTTTTGCCTGCCCAGTCCTGGTAAACCTCGTCCAGGAAAGTCTGCCCCGCCAGCCTATTATCACCCAGAACATTGTTGGTGACCCCATCCTCCGAGTGGTCGGCAATGTACTGGTCGATCTTGGCATTGAGGGCTTCATAGTCGGGCGGCGGCAGCGAAGGTCCGATGCCAGGGACGGTAGGAAACGTGGCATGGCGTGTCCGAATTTGCACTGTAATGTCCCGAGCAACTCTGCGAAGGTCAAACCCAACAGGTCGATGGGGTCCTGGAACAACTGGATTCTGAAGCTCCACTTGGGCATCACTAGCAACTGCCTCCAGAGGCCGACTAATGAGGAAGAAGTCGATATTTGAACTGCTTTGCCCGCCATCAAAAATATGCGACGGGACCGAAGGATCAAACCTGAAACAGCATTCCAAAAGATTTGTCTGAAGTCCTTCCCGAACTTCAGTGGTGGTCATGTTCCAGTCTCCTCCTACAATGATAGGAACCCCAGCTTCTAGTGCATGCTGTCCTAGAGTTCGTAATACATGGATGTTAGGTCCAGCAATCTTGATGCTGTCCTGCATGTAGATAGAGTACAAACCAATGATGCCTAATTGTGCTGTGCGCAGATAGCAGTGTGCAAGATGGCGAGTGATAACTGATGCCCCAGACGGCCCAGACCAGACATCTAAGTAACTGCGTGCTGCTATACATGTGCCACCTGTGTACTGCCCTTTGTCAGATATACTGGCCTGGCCCCAGAAACATTTCCAACCAGCGCCCGCCATACGTCGACTGACTTCTGACTGACGATCTGCACCTAGTTTGTGCTCCTGAATAAGTACAACAGCTGCCGATGTCTCATTAATGAAACCTTCTGCTGTGGCCCAGCAGTTCCCATTGTACGTGACAATGTGCATATCCCTGGGACATTTAGTGCGCCGTCGTCCCTGCCGTGGGCAATGTCCCTGGAGGTGGCGGGGTCCAGGTGGTCCCACAGGGGTCTTCATCTGAGTCTGACATGTCATCTGCTGGACGCTGAGAGTGGCCTTCACGCTTGGCTCGCTTGACTTGAAAGGCACGAAATGCTGTGAACAGGGCACGCTTCTCGACATTGACCCCTGCACTCCGAAAAGCCTCATACAGGTCCTCACTCTCACCTCCTTCCATGTCGGCTGGTGCTCCTGCTTGTCCTCCTCCTCCTTCTCCTGCTGCTGCTCTGTCGCCACGGCAAGTGCGAGACACTGGAACATCGGCGGCATCAACGTCGGGCGGGGGAGGATCCACCAGCGGCTTGACCTCATCCAATTGGGCCTGCATGTGGCGGCGGGCCTCCTCATTCGGGATGTTGGGGACAAGGGCAGCGAGCGAGGCGAGAAGGTTACGCACGGGCGTGAGGTCCTGCGCGGGTCCTGCTGTCCCAGAGCCAACCATCTGTGCAGGGCCCGCGCTCCGGGCCACGAAAGGGCCGAGCTCTGGAACGCCATGCGGCCACGTGTGTTATCCGACCCCCTCGCCCAGTCCAATCCGGCCACGCCACGTGTGTCCAGCTGCCAGATGCATGCCCCACATCTCATCCACATCCCCCACATCCTCCTCCTCCTCCTCCTCCTCCTCCTCCTCCTCCTCCTCCTCCTCCTCCTCCTTTTCTTCTCCTCCTCTTCCTCTTCCTCCTCCTCCACCTCCACCTCCACCTCCACCTCCTCCTCCTCCTCATCCTCCTCCTCCTCCTCCCTCTCCTCCTCCTCTTGCTCCTACTCCTACTCCTACTCGTACTCCTACTCCCCCCTCCTTCCTCCTCACTCCGCCTCCTCCTCCTCCTCCTCCTCCTCCTCCTCCTCCTCCTCCACCCTCCCCTCCTCCTCCTCCTCCGCCTCCTCCTCCTCCTCCCATTTCTCCTGCGCCCCCTGGGCTCCTCCCCCCCCCCCGGTCCTCATCCTGCCGCTCGCCCTGGCCCTCCTCCTCCTCCTCCTCCTCCTCCTCCTCCTCCTCCTCCTCGTCCTGCGGCGTCCCCGGTGGCCACTCCAACTCTGTTCGGGGCCTGTCTTCGGGGCCAGCGAAGTGGTCCTCGCCAGCTGGACCCCCGCCCTACCTAACTTCCTGGTTGGTTCGGCACTCGGCCGTGGCAAGATCAGCAGCTTATACCTGCTCGAAGCTCT